CGGCGACTGATCTGCCTCGCCAGAGAAGAGCGCAATGATGGTGCCAACTTGGGCCAGTGAAGCAACGTCCTCCACAACTAGACTGAAGAACAAAATGATAGCAGCTTGTCTGTTCCCCTTCCCCCAATTCCCCAGCATTGTTCCCATCCCCCCAATTCCCCAATAAAAATCTTTAAAAAAAAAAAAATTTTAGAGTTGGAAAATACAGTGCACAGAATATCAGTAGGTTAAACATTGCAAAAGAAAAGATTAGTGAATTTGAAGACCATGGCAATAGAAACCATCCAAAATGAAACTTAGAGGGCAAAAAACAAACAAAAGTGACCAGCTATGGGACAACTTCAAGCAAACTATTGTAAGTGTAATTGAAGTCTCCAAAAAAGGGGAAAGGGAGACAGTAAATACTTATTTTTGATGGCTGGAAATTTTCCAAATTTAATGGAAACTATAAACCCATACATTAAAGAAATTCAATACATTTTGAGCACAGGAAACGATGAAAACTACACCAAGGCACATAATCAGGTTGTTAAAAGCTTCCAAACCTTTAGCTCAATTTTCTGTGAATCTGAAACTGCTCTAAAAACTAAAGTTACTAAAAAAAACAACAACCAAAAAAAATCTTATTTTGGTAAGCCAAAAACAAAAACCTGTCAGGGAAAAAAACCCGCCATTACATATAGAGGATCAAAAAATGTCAATGACTTTACATAGGTAACATCTTTAATGTACTGAAAGAAAAGGATCTTTCAAATTAGGGTTCTATATCCTGTGAAAATACCTTTCAAAAATGAAAGACTTTTTTCTTTCATTTCAGGGGAACAAAGACTTTTTAAAATGTATAAAAGCTGAAAGAATTTACTACCAGCAGACCTGCACTATAAGAAATTTAAACCAATCCTTTAAGCAGAAGGAAAATGGTGTCAGATGGCCATCTAAGTGTGGATCTGCATAAAGGAATGAAAATCACTAGAAATGTTAAATGTTTTTCCTTATCTAAATCGCTTTAAAAAATAATCAGTTGAGTTTTTAAGAAATGAAGCGCTGCAACATGCTATCACATGGATGAACCTTAAAAAAAGCCATTTACGAAAGACCACATATTGTATGATCCCATATATATGAAATGGCCAGAACAGGCAAATATGTGGAGACAGAAAGTAGATTAGTGGTTGCCTAGAGCTTGGAGAGGGGGAGAGGGAACATTTGGGAGTGATTGCTAATGGGTATAAGGTTTCTTTTAGGGGTAATGCTAACAATGAAAAGAAACCTGGACTGGCTAATATCAGACAAAACAGATTTTAGAGCCAAAAATACTGCCCTAAATAGTCAAAGGATAAGGAATAGTTATTTTTATAATGGTAATAGGATCAGTTCATCAAGATGATACAAAAGAACAACATTTGCTTCAAAATACATGAAGCAAAAACACAGGATTTCAAGTTAGAAATAGACAAATCCTGTTATAGCTGGAGATTCTAGTACACTTCGCTCAAAAAATGGGAGAACAGGTAGACAGAAAACTGCTAAAACTACCAACCAACTTGACATTTATAGAACACTGCAGCCATCAAAATACACATTCTTTTTAAGTGAACACAGAACATTTAGCAAGATTGGTCATATTCTAGGGTCATTTTTAAAAGTCTTAATAAATTGAAAAGGATTCAAATCATACAAAGTATATTCTGTGACCACAGTGTAATTAAAGTAGAAATCAATAACAGATCTCTGGAAATATTTGGAAAGTAAATAAAACACTTCCAGATAAATGAAACCAAAAGGATATTTACAAAGAATGTTAAACTGAGTGAAAATGAAAATTCTAAATATATCTGTTTGATGCTACTAACGCAGTACTTAGAGGAAAATTTTATAGTACACCCATATTAGAAAAGAAAAATTCAAATCAATGACTTAAGCCATCTTAAACTAAAAGGGAAGAGCAGGTAAGATACAAGTAAATAGAAAAAAAGAGAAATAAAAATCAAAGTGGAGATTAATTAAATAGGTGGAAAAAACAATACAGAAAAATGAGTGAAACCAAAAGCTGATTTGTTGAGAATATCAATATAATGGATAAACCTCTAGTCTAGCCAGACTAATGAGAAAAAAGAGAAAAGACACAAATTGCCCATATTGAAAATGAGAGGTGGCAACACTACAAATTTTACAGATATTAAAAAGATACGGTAATATTATGAACAAATACGTACAAATGAATTCAACATATCAGATAAAGTGGGAAATTTTCTTTCAGAGCTCACTCAAGAAGAAATACTTAACCTGAAAATCCTGTATTTCTTAGGGAAATTTAATTTATAGGTACTCGCATTCCCACAAAGAAATGTCAGACCCAGGTGGTCCCATTGATGAATTCTATCAAACATTTAAGGAAGAAATATCACCAATTATACACAAACTTCCAGAAAATTAAATAGGAAGGAATACTTCCCAACTCATTTTATGAGACCAGCGTTACTGTGATACCCCAACCAAAGACTAGACCAGAAAGCAATACCAATATCCCTCATGAACATAGATGCAAAATCTTAGCCAGATTTTAGCAGTTAGAACCCAGCAGCATATAAAAAGGGTAATATATCATGACCAAGTGGATTTCATTTCAGGAATAAAAAGTTGGTGTAACATTTGAAATCATTCATCAATGTTATTCACTATATTAACCAAAAAGAAAACATGTACCATATGCTCACCTCAGTAGGTGTAGGAAAAGCATTTGATAAAATCCAGTATCCCTTTCTCATAAAAGCATTCAGCAAACTTGGAATAGGAGGAAATGCCATTAACCTGATAAAAGGCATCTTAATGATAAAAAAAACTTTCCCCCCTAAGATCAGGAAGGATGCAAAGATATCCCTTCTCACCACTTTTATTCAACAGTAGTATTAATTAACTTTTATTCAGTAGCAATTATTACCTTCAGTAAAAAGGAGAAGTTAGAGTTGCACAAGAAAGGCGATGTGGTCTTTGTAAACTGCTTGTTTATACAATGTAAATTATCTACATAGTTATAGTAATGTAAATTTTTCTTTCTGCATAAATATAGCCAAATGGAAATAGGATTTGATAGACTTTGGTTTCCAAACTGCTCAGTATCTAAGGTGTCATCTTGATTGATCTTGATTGATTAGAGAACAAACCTGTGTTCTAAGGGGCTGTCTCTTCTTCCCTGTGCCTTTTTATTCAGGCCTGGTGCTGGGTTAATCTGTGCTCCTCTTTAGTCTGAACAGCTTGTCCCCACCTCTGCTTGATGACAGGATTGGTTACTGTACTTCATCAGTTTCCTGTCATTGTCTTTAGGGGAAACCTTTTTTCTAGAATAACTTTGTTCATAATCTATTTCAGGAAAAATATTAACATATAATTATGAGTACTTTTATTAATCTTGCTTAAATGGCTGATTCTTTTTTTTTTTTTAATGTCCTCTAGGAAGTAAGAAGAAAGAGAAGGAACGACCAGAAATTTCTCCCCCATCTGACTTTGAGCATACCATCCATGTTGGCTTTGATGCTGTTACTGGAGAATTCACTGTAAGTTTACCTAGCTGGGACTTGTTTATATATCATCACTCAAGCTTTTCCATTCAATATTAAGTTTGAAGTTAACTTTTCTATCCACATCGTAACTGAATCCTTAGTGCTTTTCTTCTAAAAGTGTTTGGGTTGGATGTATCTTTTTCCTAAGGAGCTGAGCCTGTTATAATTATGTAAAATAGATTTAGATAAATAGACCTTTAGTAAACTAGGCCATTTAGAATTTAGCCAAACCAATAGCTGTGTAGATTGTTTTGTATTTTGTTATTTACCTCTGGAAATTGATTTTATTAGCAACTCAAAACAACTAATTTCTGACTATCTTTTTGTTAGGGCATGCCGGAACAATGGGCGCGATTATTACAGACCTCCAATATCACCAAACTAGAGCAAAAGAAGAACCCTCAGGCTGTGCTGGATGTCTTAAAGTTCTATGACTCCAACACAGTGAAGCAGAAATATCTGAGCTTTACTCCTCCAGGTAGGACATCGATCAACAACAGTAAAAGGCTGATTCAGATGAGACTGCAGAGTTGTGAAGCTCTTCCAGATAAGAAGGTTGCTTCTAGAAAAATAAAAAAAAATAAAAAAACTTAAGCTATGGTTCTTGTCTCTACTTCCCTTGCATAGAGCTGCCTTTTGTAAACTGATTGGAGCAGCTCTTATTCATAATTTGGAGTCTGGGAATTTTAGTTTTGCCAAAAGTGAATATTTGGACCTTTTTGTTTTCCTCTTTACTACTTTTCAATGACATCCAGCAATACACGGGAAAGATGCTGATTTATAGGCATGTTCATACTAGAAATATATATATATATATATATATATATATATATATATATATATATCATTAGTGGGACAGGGGGAGAGTTGTTTTAAATGCACAAACTCTGAAATAAATGTTTAAGTCCACTCAAAAATTGGAACTTATCAAATAAATATATAAACATTAAATAAGCGTTAGACTAAAAGAATTTATACCTCAGAATTGGAATATCATCAGGTAAGAACTGGAGAATAGTGAATTTTAAAACATAGTTTTTTGTTTAAATCAGAATCAAAGTTTATATATTACAGTCGATTACAATATCTCTTGAATCTTTTTTGATATTTAGGCTTCCCCTTCCTCACGCTGGTTCTCATGGTTTCCTTTCTTTGCAGTTTGTTATTAAAGGAACAAGATCATTTGTCCTGTTTCCTTTCACGTGGATTTTACTAATTACATCCCAAGATGTCATTTAATATGTTTCTGTGTCCCCCAAAGTCATACATGTAGTTTTTAAAAACAATATGATTGAGCTAAACTCATACCTGTAGTTTTAATTATACTTAATGTGAATGCATCATTGCCAAATTAAGGGCTGTGCTCAAGGAAGAAATAGAGACCACTTGGCAAATGATTTTGACCCCTTTTGCATAGTCTGCTACATCCTTAGCAAAAGGTCAGACTTGTCCCTAGAACGTTTGTGTCAACTAGTAAGTCTGTGTAAATTAATCTTTTTTTAAAATCAGAAGTGAAACAAAACAAAACTTGCTCCTCTAAACTCCAATATTTTAACATTTAGTCTTCGTGAACTGTTATGCCTTCGGGGATTTGCTTTCATATTGATCAAAATTTATGTCAAGAATTGTCCTTTGCCCAGTGGCCGTTGTCTGAATGGTTGCTTTAAGTTCCTCGTTAGGCGATTTTCTGGAGAAAGTATCGTTATGAACTTGTTTTAATAAATACAGATTGACTGTTATAGTTTCAAATAAATTTGTAATAACTTTATTAAGGTATAATTTACATGCTATAAAATCCACCTATTTGGAGTATACAGTTCAATGATTTTTAGTAAACTTACAGAGTTCCATTAAGATTTGATATTTGTTAGCTCAGTCTTATATAAATTTGTATTTGACTACTGATACTGTTGTTTTTCTCAAGACTTAGTTCAACTTAAAATGAAATCAGTCTAAGAACATTTTACTTGCTCTGCTTTATATTTTCTTTTATTATATATAGGTGTTTTATTTTTTGAATTACTAACTTAGCATTATTTTCTGTTTCATATTCAGAGAAAGATGGTTTCCCTTCTGGAACACCACCAGTAAGTTAATATGTTATTTCTTGTAGCTCTTGTTCTAATTTAAGTTACCCAAAACAAATCTCAATTTTTGTTTTACTTTCTAAAATACATTACAGCCATCAGAAATAAATAACTATTTGGTACATGTTTTAGCTATTCACTTGATTAGTTAAGGAAACCATATTAAACAAATTGAATTTCCTTGATATGATAGTTAAAAAGTGACTAAAACTTATTTGGATCTTTGGAGCAGTTTAGCCACTTTTGGCAATGTTTCCATATACAAATGTGAATACAAACTTGATAGCTTTTTCCTGTGGTACCATTCTACTGAATACAGACTTTGGAATCATACTGAACAACTGAAGCCTTTCAGTCTTCAGAGTTGTCTGAAACTTGATCTAAGTTATTGTAAGCACAGCTACCTCCTACAAACAATCACTGTTTTATTTTCAATTCCTCAATTAGGAGAAATCAGTCTCCTGGAGTTATATGAAGATTAAATGCGATAACATGTAAACTACCTACCTAGCACATACCTGGCATGTAATAATCTCTGTATAAAGCTTAATGCCTTCCTCTTTTGCTTCATTAGCCACCATTTTTTCCTGGTGAATCTGGCTGTTTCAAATGACTGAAAACGAGTGACTTATACAAAGCCTAGAGAATTTGTTTTTGGTCTTAACAAGTAAAGTGATTGTTTACTTTTAGGGTTTGTTTAAAGGGTGTCAAATTCTCTCTATAAAGGGCATAAATTCTCTCAAGAATACTTGATGTTTATCATATACATTTATTTCATAAATTACTTTTCTTGTAAAATTGCTTTTACTTTTTAAGTGATTAGATTAGAGCCAGTGAAGTTTTTTTTGTTGTTATTTTGAAATCAGCTATTAAAATATAACGTATTGTTATACTTGTCTTGTTTTCCTTACTTTGCTCATATGATAAATGCAGCTGAATACCAAGGGATCAGAAACATCAGCAGTAGTAACAGAGGAAGATGATGATGATGAAGAGGCTGCTCCCCCTGTTATTGCCCCACGACCGGATCATACAAAATCAGTGAGTGTCTGATTGGTGAACTGGGCTGTGTGTGCCTGTGTGTTTTAAAAAAACAGTCTGTGTTTGACTTCCAGTGATTAATTTTAAAATGCCCTCATGCTTAAAATATTTTAGTGTGGGGAATTTGACTACATCTTTACCTAAAGACCACTCATAAAACAACTAGCTTTTTAAAGAAAACCAATAAAATGCACTTAAGCTATCAAAAAAACTAGCTATTTTGAAAGTTAAAATCAAATGGCTTCTTTAAACATTAAAATATCTCATTATTTTTTCTTTTTGTAGTACATCTTCTCTTACAGAGAATTCATCTGTTTCTCTGGCTTTCTGTTTATCTCTGTGCAAATAATTACTATATCTAAAACTTAAACTTTACTTCTCACCCAAATTATGTATTTTATCCCATTTTACATTTCTCTCAAAGCATTGGTGTTATTCAAGAGGCTGCTGAGAGTGAAATTTTAACCAGATATGGGAGAATTTGAATAATTATTACCTTAGATAGAGACAGAAAGAAAGAGTCCTGTACTAATACCAGTAAAGTATGGGGAAACGTATGGCACAGTGGAGTGTGATGGAGTGATGGCACAATGGGCAGATAAAGCTGTGAGGACTACCAGTAGATCCTGATCTAATGATAGAGGTCCCTATTTTCTTTATCTCCTAGAATTGGCTGTTTGAAATGAAATGGTAGAAATATGTGTGTAAAAATTTTGGGGAATTAATAGTTATTTTAACATTAAGATTTCTGTTATTAAAACATTGGAGACAACTTAGTTTTGGTTAAAAATCAAAGAACTGAATAGCGTGCTGGTAATAATACCTAAAAATATTTTTTCTCAAATCTCAGCATTTAACTATCTCTCTGCAGATTTACACACGGTCTGTAATTGACCCTATTCCTGCCCCAGTTGGTGATTCTAATGTTGATGGTGGTGCCAAGTCTTCTGACAAACAGAAAAAGAAGACCAAAATGACAGATGAAGAGATTATGGAGAAATTAAGTATGTTTCCTATATTGTACGTTATTTTTTAAATTGTTAACAGCTCTTGAAACATTTGGCCCACATGGATTTTAATTTATACCCTATATTTTGGCTTAACACATAAAGAATAAAGTGTTTTCTTGTAGGAACAATACCTTGAATTAAAATCTAGTAAAGCCAAAATAATACTCTTCTTTATTTATTATGTGTTAACTAGTGAGCAACATCTCTGCAATAGTCGGTACCATTTTTTCTCTTCTTCCTTTTTGTCTATCAACTATCATTGGCCTGGATGAAGCATCGGAAACAATGTACATAGTGCCAAGGAGAGGGTAGCAATACAGTCTAATTTACAAATCAACAGCAATTGTGGTTATAAAGAACATTGACATAGAGAGATCACGGAAAACTATAACTGTAGTGGCTGGGGACTTGAGATTGGGGACCTATATAAAATTGTTTATTTATGTGAGTTTCCTGTGTCCTTTTTTACCTTGAGTAAGTGAAAATTTATTGTGGTTTTCTCATGTTTTTACTTGCTGGTGGTAAGAGTGTAAGTTTTATGCCCAACCATCATAATTTTAAAACCTGTTTGTGAACTTTCCTAACACAGATGTTTGATTAGTTCATATTAGAGTAGTTTTTATAGTAATAAGGGGTTTTCTAAATCTATTGTAAGATCAAAGATATGTGGGAAGAGTCAGAAAAGCCATTTAGGGTTAATCATTTGGATATTATATATTTCTGATAGTAAATAGTTTCATAACAGTTTAATACATTTCATGAAGTATGAAATTTTTCTCAGAAATTTCCCAGTTTTCAGACTGAACATCCCACATCCTGAGAAACCTCTCAGTTTCAGGCAAACTAGTATAGTTAGTCATTTGAAAATAATGATCATTTTTGAGGAAATGATAGAATAATTAAGGCATTAGTTAGGTCTAACCCAAATCTTTTTTTTTTAATTAAGTTTCTTTAGTGTTTTGTGTTTGAAACATACATTATTTTTGAAACTTAATGTTAAGTTTGAAAACTGTTCTAAAATCAGCGGTTTATTAAAAGGAATAATGATATCAGAATTAATTTACAATTTAAAAATGCTTGACTAAGATTATAACTTTTTGTTGTTTTTGTTTAAAATAGGAACTATTGTGAGCATAGGTGACCCTAAGAAAAAATACACAAGATATGAAAAAATTGGGCAAGGGTAAGTATTTGTGATGATATTACCACAATATTCAGTACTGCCTAGGTGTACAGCTTGATATCTCTTGCCTGCTGTCATTGAGCACTTAACAGTATTCTGAGTGGTATCTTTGGATTTGTGCAAATAAGTAATTATATTTAGATACTGTTTAAAAACTATACTACTTAGCAATGATTATACATTGTTTTTTCTTTTAAAAAAAAAATTGGGGGAATTGAGGGAGGGGAACAGTGTTGAAGATGGGGACCAGCTGAGAGGGGGACCAGCCAAGTTGTTGTTCTTCAGTCTTAGTTGTGGAGGGCTCCAGTCGCCATTTGGCTGCCTGTTGGCAGCTCATGGCCTCTCAGCTCAAGGTGCTGTGTTACAATCTTAGTTGCCGGTGGGCATAACCACCATCTCATGCAGGAGTCAAACCGGCAGCCTTGTTGTTAAGAGGGCATGCCCTATCTACTGAGACATCTGGGTGGCAGCTCAGCTCTAGGTGCCAAGTGCAGTCTTAGTTGCGGGCGGGTGTAGCCCACCATTGAACAGGCCATCTTGTTGTTAGGATCATGTGCTCTCACCAGCTGAGCCATCCTACCACCTGTTGGCAGCTCAGCTCGGGCACAGCGTCACCGACCCACATGGAATCGAACCGGCGGCCCTGATGCTCAGAGCTCGTGCTCTTAAGCTAACTCTTAACCAACTGAGCCACTCAGCCGGCCCCTACCTTGTTTCTTTCTAAATGTTATTTCCAGTTGGTAAGAAATTAGGTAGGTGAAAAATTTGCACAGTAAAAATACAGTAAGATTTATTACAGGGTTATATGCAATAAAAACGTGCATTTTAATAACATCATTAAGTATTGATCTTTGAGTCTATTCATCTTCTGATTTTGTCCAATAATTTGTATTTATAAACTGTACTAACTAAACTTGTTTTTCCGGTTAATTTTGTAGCAAATAAACATCTGGAATTTTTAATTTTATTAATCTCTGGAAAATGTTCTGTGAATTTAGACAGAGTTTAAGACTTTTTGAAAACTTCCTTATGAGTTTCATTTTAAAAACTAAATACAGTTGCAGCACTGGTTTTAATAACAGAAAATTGAGAATCATCTTAATATTCTTGAGCATGATAATGGATAAATGTTAGGTATTGAATCATAATAATAATAAAAAACAAGAATAACATCTATATGATAACCATCTCAAATCCAATGTTGAATTAAAAAAGCAAATTGCAGAAATATGAAATCATTTATATGACATTTAAAAATGATGTTAACTATATTCTATAGAGATACACACCTATGTCCTTTGTAGTTAAAGTACAGAGAAATGCATGGAACTAATGTACATCTAATACAGAACAAGTACCAAATACAGACTAATTTTGGGAGGAGGGAGGATGCCTTTGGAAAGGGCACACAAGGACCCTCAAATTTATTTGTAGTTCATTGTTCCTTAAGAAGGGAAAGTGGATCCGTGAGTATATGTTATTTTTTTCTTTATCTTTTCTGCTACATTTTTGTAGGTATGAAATTTGTGACAAATTTCTAACATAAGTTTTGACCACAAGGATTTTCTCTTTTCTTAATTTTTTTCCCTTTTGTTTTTGCTTTTACTCCCATTAAAAATTCTAAGTCTTAAATGTTTAATCCTTTTTCAGTTCTAAGTATAAAGTCTTTGGATGTTATAAATGATAATGATTTGTGTCTTTTTCCCCCTTAGGGCTTCTGGAACAGTTTTTACTGCTACTGATGTGGCTTTGGGACAGGAGGTAGCTACTGTTTCATACTTTTTTGTGTTACAATTAGCTTTTAATATAGGAGAAAACTAGATAAACCTGTGAATAATCAAGGAATTACTTCAGTTGGATATGTTGCAAGGAATACTCTATGTAATTTTATAGCACTTTTCTTATTAAGGGGGGAAAAATGAATTATGCTTTGTTTCATAAATAAGCAAATTTTGTTTTTAAAGATTTTTTAATTGGGGAATTGGGGGAAGGGAACAGCGTTGGGGAATCAGGGAAGGGGAACAGATAAGTTATTGTCCTTTTGTTCGTCAGGCTAGTTGTGGAGGACGTTGCTTCACTGGCCCATGTTGGCATTGTGATCATTGCGCTCTTCCCTGCTGAGGCAGTCAGTCTCCAGCCATTGGATGGCCGCTCACGGTGGCTCATGGCAGCTCACGCTGGCTGCTAGCCGCTCTCGCTGGCTGCTGGCCACTCATCGTAGTTCACAGCAGCCCACTGCAGCCTACGCCATCGCTGGCAACTCTCGGCAGGCCAGCTCTAGGTCAAGCTGTTGTTCACCATCTTAGCTGTAGAGGGTGCAGCGTCACTAGCTTATGTGGGATCCGAACCCATGGCCCTGCTGCTCAGAGCTCACGCTCCCAAGCCAACTCTTAACCAGCAAGCCACTCAGCCGACCCCAATAAGCAAATATTTTTAAAAATTATTTTCTCAGCTTGGAATGAAAAAAATTAACTCCTGGTACTGAGCTAACATTGTGTTGGTTAATCAGCTTCAAGAGAAATCTAAAAATATTTGGGTTCTGTTACTACAAAGCGTTGTACCTAGGCAGCATGGAAATGTAAGTGTTACTTATGAGTAAATTAGCATTTCATTATACAACATTTATACAATAAATTATTAACTGATATTTGAAATTTTCTAAGAGAATTGGGAAACTTGTTCTAATTTTGTTATTTTTTATTCTGTTTCCATCATAGGTTGCTATCAAACAGATTAATTTACAGAAACAGCCAAAGAAGGAATTGATCATTAATGAGATTCTGGTGATGAAAGAATTAAAGAATCCCAACATAGTTAACTTCTTGGACAGGTAAATATGAATATTTCTCAAGCATTGGAACAAAAATGTGGAAATTTTAAGTCTCATAGCCACGTCAGACCAGAGTAGAATGTCAATGCTGAAAAGTAAGCTTGAAGAAAGAGAAGAGGTAAAAATAGCACATTACAGTTTAACAGATTCTTTTTCTACATAGATGTTATTTGGCAAGTGACAGAAGGCAGTTGAATGAAGGACATTGCTGCTGGTGCTCATATTAATTACAAATGATCAGAAGTAGAAACATTGAGGGAACGTTGGCTGGGATTCATATCTTGATTAACAGAGGTGATTGGCCACACAGTTTTTAAACTTTTAGATCAATTTTTATTTCAAATACTTTTATAGGCAAATAGTATGTCTATTAAAACCTCATTTGATTTAGGAATTGATGTTAAAAAGCAAAATAGAGAATTATGTATCTTACAACTATGTGTGTTTTTTTAAAGCAATTACATATATGTGAATGAAAGAAAAATACAAAATAAATGAAAATCATAATAGTGAGTGTGTTGGAGGTAGAGGATTATAGGTGATTTTCTTGTTTCCATATTTAAATTTGTTTTGAATGGGAAAAAGATTGCCCATTTTTAGACTTTAGCCCTAGTTATGGGGACCATGTCCATAAAAGCAAACTTTCCAGGTACGTCTCCCTGCTTTTTAAAATAGTATTATAAGTCAGTATAGCATGGTGGCTAAGATAAGCCATAAGCTTTGGAATCAGTTGTAGTTGGCTTCAGATTCTGGTTCTGTCACTTATTAGCTATGTGACCTTGGATTAGTTACTTAACATCTCCAAGCTTTTGTTTCTTCATCTGTAAAACAATGAATAATTCCTACCTTACAGGAGTATTTTAATTGAAATAATCTGTGTACACAGTCAAGTTACAGTTGTGGGCAAACTTTAAAGTGATTCAGGAAAATCATAATGACCCTCAGTTATTTTTCTGTGCTGTTACATAGTAGCTTTCCAGTTTTCTTTCTAGCTCTCAAAGCTACCAGCTTTCTAGTTTTGTTATTAGTGTGCTTAACATTTGAATTTTTCAACATAGAGCACCATGTGTTTAGAAAAAGAAAAATGTGAGTCTATTTTGTGTGTTCTTTTCTTAGTTACCTGGTGGGAGATGAATTGTTTGTAGTAATGGAGTACCTTGCTGGGGGATCACTTACTGATGTTGTAACAGAAACCTGCATGGATGAAGCACAGATTGCTGCTGTATGCAGAGAGGTGAGTTTGCTCCCTTCTTGATAAGTTATGGTGATATGTGGTTAACAGGAGGTGAAAAAGGGGAAAGGTTTTTTGCACAGGTAATTTTTATTGTGTGAGACAATTTCTCTGTAAACATTCTCTGCAAGTTTTCTCCATACCATTTCATTCTACATGAGAGTTTCAGCCCTTTCCTTCATGTGTAAAATAATTCTGGAATGAAGCATGGACCTTTGAAGTGCTCAACTCACAGGTGAATTTCAGTGGAGTGATCATAATTCATCATCCAAATAGGATGCGTTCAAGAGTGAAAGGGGGAGCCATTAAAAATACACCACTCAGCAGTGGAAACAAGGGCTGTCTCAGGCAAAGGAGGACACATGCTCACCTTAAAGTATCAATGAATTTGCTTTTGACTTTACTGATCTCATTGAATGTGAAGAAACTGGTTGTTTTTTTATATTAATGAATTACTACATGATTTGCTTAAGCCAGTAAATTCTGCCACATTTGTCTAAGCCAAAAGCGAGCTTTCCTTCTTGCATCTAATCTTTTTCTAAAAATGAGACTTAGGTTAATGATTTTCTCATTGTCATTGAAAGTAGTATCACAATACTACTTTCGAATATCCAGGAATTATTGTCACAAGGACAAAATTGTGAAAGTTCTTGAGGCTGTTGCGTTTTCTATGGTTTGGCTTTCAGCATTTTTACAGTGATACATAGTAAGTTATAAATTCTATTCATGTAAGAACAATACGTATGATGTTTTCCTTTTTTAGCTTTTATTAAGGTGTTAAAAAAGTAGTCTTTGAAAATTTTAATTCTGAACTAATTATGCTTCACTAAAGGGGTAGCTCCCTTGGTTGTTTTAGGAGGGACGTAAGAATTGTTAATAGTTATGAGTATGGTAGTTTTAGGAGTTTTTCTAACTGTGACAAGTTTCTGTTTATTTCTACAAGTGTTTTTCTGGGGATTTGTTTTTTTCCCCAGGAATCTGCTTAAATGCTTGGTAAATGTAGTGTAATAATACACAGTTTATTTGTTGTTGTTTTTTCCTTGAATAGAATATTTTGAATGAGATTTTTACTTGTTTTTAATTATGTACAGACTTTTTTTGTTGTTCTACTCTGATGGAGGTAATAAATAAAAACAACTTTTTCAAAGTTTACATTTTATACTCAGTTTATATTTAAAAACATAGGGGCAAGTAGATTTTTAAAATCTAATCTTATTGTATTTAAGGGAGGGGAAGGATGTTTTCCTCACTTTGGACTCAGTGCTTTCTGAAACATGGCATAGGAGGCAAGTTAATTCCTCTATCATTAGTGTCTAGGTGGTGGATGTAGCTTTATGTAAAATCCACCATAGAAGAAACGAAGAAACATCTTTTATCACATTGATGAACAGCTGGATGGAACTAGACTATCCAGTCTGTTATCCGCTTTTCAGTGGCACATTGATTAGACTTGACTATATGAGATTCATATGGGAATAATTCAAGTTTATCCTTTACTGTTGAAATGATTTCTAAAGAGCTTTGTACATGTTTACCAAGTGCTGCATACCTTTAGGCATTTCAACCTGAAAAGGCTTAGAAATTATATAGGCCCATCATCATTTTATAAATGAGAACATTGAAGACTAAATGATATTCTTAAGGTTTTAAGTAATCCTTGGCAGAGATAGGACTAGATAAGACATCATTTAATAATTGTCTTTGGGTAAAACCAGAGGGTGGAGTTGGGGAATCTAATTAATTAAAGTTTCCTTTATTTAAATAACTATGCACATGAAAGGATGTTTTTTCTTTATAAATATAAGTATTGGCATGTCTTGGATGCTAGAAACAGTGCTCAGGCCATAAGCAGTATTGTATGTGAACCTCCCTTAGACTTTTAAGAGACTTTTTCATTGATTGGTGTTTTTCTTCTGTTCAGTGTTTACAGGCATTGGAGTTTTTACATGCTAATCAAGTGATCCACAGAGATATCAAAAGTGACAATGTGCTTTTGGGGATGGAAGGATCTGTTAAACTTAGTGAGTAACAAAGGAAAAAATAACATTTACTTGTTAATTTATTATAATTATCTGCCTTTTGTTTAAGTAAAAAACTCTTCTAGTAACATTTTTATAATATATGGAGCAGGAGGGAAAAACAGAACTGGACAGCTTGTGTTTAAATGCTATACTTTGTGAATAATTTTAGGTGAGTTACTTAATCTCTTTGTGCCTATTTTCTCATTTGTATGATAAGGAGAATCATAGTACCTATCTCAAAGAATCCTTCTGAGGATTAAAAATATAAAATGCTGAGGAATAGTGCCTGGCACTGTCATAATGTTGAAGCCATCTTCCAAAGATAAACTTGAATTTGTCTCTGCTGTCTGTTAGGCTAGATTTTTTTCATGCTGTTCGGCTTTCTTTGGATTTGGCAGAATATGGCTTAATCAGGGGACAGCTATATAACCCTGACCTCGGAGATGACAAGAAAAAAACATGTAAACCTCTTATTCCTAATTATCTTTTGCATCAGACAGGGTAGAGTCAGGAAAAAAAAATCCTAGATTCCTTTTCCTCTGCTAGCTATATCTCAGCTCCAACCATGCCCTCTGTAAGATTTAAGAAGAACTTCTACTGAGGTTTCTCTAATTATGCAAAAGTCAAGGCATTTCTTAGATGAAGAAACCAAAAATCTTTTCTTCTGTTCTGCTAGAGGGTTTGGCTCCTTTTTCAACATCTCTTTTTTAAGATACATTCTCCAGAAGTTATTCAAGCACAAGAAAAGGGGTCTAGGTTCTATTAGATGGTCAAAATATAAAATAACTAATCTTAATCTTAATGGGCAATGGATTTCTCATACAATTTTGGTAGATACACATGTAAACTGAATTAGACTTTTTCACATAATATTGAATCCTGGTTTTCCACTTACTAGATGAATGATCTTGGGTAAATTATCTAAAATATATATGCCTCAGTTTCCCCATTTTAAAATTAGGAATAATAATGATAATGTACCTATCTCATAAAGTTATGAGAATTAGATATGTTAATTCTTATAATAAGGTACTTGGAACAGTGGCTGATTTATTTTTTTTTTTTGGATCAAACCATTTTATTGAGAGCCTTCGGGGGGAGGGGAGGGTTCGAAGGACTGGGGGGGTACGATGAGATCCGACGTCTTCAGCCGGCGAGGATCTCTTCAGTTTCACAGCCGCTGAAAAGCGCTGATTTTTTATGACTGATTTTAGCTATAAATATAATTTGACCTAACAATTGATCTTTTAGGATTCTCTCCTATAGAATTATTGAACATATGCACAAGAAGTACAAAGATGTTCTCTGCAACACTAAAGAAAAACCAAAAATATCTTAAATGTCTAGCAGTATGGAAATAGTCAAATAAGTTGATATTTTTATATTCTGTAATGTGTGGTTATAATGAGGTAGATGAATGTATTAATAAGGAAAGATCTCTAAAAATAAATTAAGTTTTAAAAAGCAGTTTATAAAATACCCTAATTAGGTAAACTAAGTGGTTCGTAGATATTTTTTGTATGTATATAAATTCGTAACAAAAAGTCTAAAGCTTACAAACGTATGTTAACAGCACTTACATATGCAGCAGAATGGGTTTAGCAGTGGAAGGGAGGAAAGAATTCTGTATTCTCATCCTGATTTTCCCCCTAAATTAACAGCACTAAGCTAGGCATTCTGCTCCTCTGTTATAAAATGAGATGGTAGGAATAGAGAGTAATACTGGTGAGCACCTTGTAGGTACAGTTGCAGTTAAATGTGTTCTTTTTCTAGACTCTGCTAAGTCGGATGCTTACTAATGCTAGCTTTTGTTTATTGTCTTCAAAAGTAGTTACCATTTCCTGACCTTTACTGATTCACAGCATTTAGTTTTAGTGTTCACGTTTGGTGACATTTTCTTTTAGACCTCTTTCAACTTTATTAAAATTTTTGGGATAGAATTAATTATTTAAAGATCTCTTGATAATTTGCCCTCTGTGGGAAGTAAAAGCAAACAAGTGAAAATATGTAACATCATCAAAATAGTTGTAAACCCATTCTGGTTGACTTTATTTATAAAAAACAGGAGGCTAAATAGTCAAATGTAATTAATAAAGTCATCTAAAGTAAACTCTTAGATAAAACCGTCCGTGGATACCATTAACTCTAGATGTTTTGTTTTGTTTTATAGCTGATTTTGGTTTCTGTGCCCAGATCACCCCTGAACAGAGTAAACGAAGTACCATGGTTGGCACACCATACTGGATGGCACCAGAGGTGGTTACACGGAAAGCTTATGGCCCTAAAGTGGACATATGGTCTCTGGGTATCATGGCTATTGAGATGGTAGAAGGAGAGCCCCCATACCTCAATGAAAATCCTTTGAGGGTAAGACCAATTAAGCATCAGTCTTATTTTAAGAAAAATACTTCTCTTTAAAACATTTATTTAGAATCTGCTTGTGCCGGGCACTGGTCAAGAATTTAGGATGCAAAGTTGATTAAACCTAGTCTCTGCCCTTACTCTGCATCAAAAAATCATTTGCTTCTGGGTTGAGTTGAATATGTTAGGTAAAGAGTTTACAGATGTTTAGTAAGCTGAATGGTTTCTAATTTTGAACATAAGTAAGAATTTCCTCACTTTTCTACAGCGTTAAGGGTCCCTAGATATACCCTGCAGGTTATCAACCTTGAACCTTGGCCTCTGGTACCCCCAGGTACAGAGAAGAGGAAAGCAAGATCACATCTGTGAGAAAGCTGTATAGATGGCAGTGTTAAAGCCTGTATTCAAACAAAAGAGTGAGGGTCCTGAGATACAGATGAGGTCAGTGGACTTTATACAATTAAATATTCAGCAGCTGAGGGTGGAGAGTTTGGGGGTCCCTTCCTTCCTCTCTTCCTTCCTCCTTTCCTTTTTCCCTTCCTTCTCTCCTTCCCTCCTTTTCTTTCTTTATCTTTAATCTTCTACTTTTAAATTATCATATGTGGCTAAAGATGATACCATTTCACACCTACAAAAATGACTATAATAAAAAAGATAATCATAAGTGTTGGTGAGAATGTAGAGAAATTGGAGCCCTCATACATTGCTAGTGGAAAGGTCAAATGGTGCATGCAGTGCTTTGAAAAACAATTTGACAATTCCTATAAAAGTTCACATAAAGTTACCCTATAACCTAGTAATTCCACTGCTAGGTATATACCCAAGAGAGTTAAAAGCATACATCCATGCAAAAACTTACACACAAATGTTGATAGCAGCATTATTCATACTAGCCAAAAGGTAGAAACAACTCAAATGTCTATCACCTGAATAATAAACAGGTGATAGACATTTTTTAGCTATAAAAAAGGAATGAAGTATAGATACATAAAACATTGAACCTTGAAAACATATTATGCTAAAAAGTCAAACACAAAAGATCACATATTGTATGATTATGGAATCATTTGATTCTTCATGGTAATTGGGTTCTATAAAGCTGCAAACACTGAATAATGAATACTGAACCATTGTTTCTAGGGGAAGTATAGGGTTAGAGTCCTGCAAGCTTCTAGTCACACCGTTTTGTCAACTGATATACAACCTTGCTTTATGTGTGTTTCTGCTTAAGGACACTTTATTTAACATAGATTATTGACTCAGTAACAGTGAACTCATGGCCAATAGCACCATAACTCATGCCTGAGTGAAGCTTGACATGCACACGTATATTCTCCATAAGGCACATCACCATCTTCCTGCACTTAGGAACACGAGACAGCACTTCAGCCCTATGCGTTTTACCTGTCTGCACAGATCCACGAGTAACCACAAAAGCACTGAGAGTTTTGATTTTATAGTTACAAATAAATTTTAGTGAGTAGGTGAATTCGCATATGTGAAATCTGCAAGTAATGAGGATCGGCTGCATATGAATGTATAGAATAGGCAAATCTGTAGAGACAGGAGATTAGTAGCTTCCTGAGACCGAGGAGAGAAGGGCATGGGAAGTGACTAATGTTGCACATGGATATTCTTTTCGGAGGGATAAAAATATTGTGAAATTAGACAGTGGTAATGGTTGTACAACTTTGTGAATATGCTAAACACTGAATTGTACACTTTAAAGAGGTGATTTTTATAGTATGCGTTATAGCTCAATAAAGCAATTATTTTTAAAAGTTTTTTAAATTACCACATGTGACTACAGACTTATTGCCAGAAGTTTTTAAAAAATTTTTTCAAAGTAAGTTGGAGGTGCTTATATAAAATAGGCAACAGATGCTAAGGTGATGAATGGCTATATGTAGGAGGTATCCTATGTGGATGGGGTGGGTTTTAATTTCATTTTTTCCTGAAGGCTTTTCAACTTCTTGCAAAGATTCCAGTTCAAGTGAGCAATTAAAGTACTTATATGGAGGTAATTAATTTTAGAACAACTTTTAAAACCCCCTAATTTCATTCATTTGTTCAGTAAATATTGATTCAAGTATCTGGTCTGTGTCAGGCACTGTTCAAGGTACTGTCTAGAAGAACTAACAACAAAAAATAACAGAACCAGTAAAATTGCTGACCTCATAGAAGGAGAGAGAAACAGTCAACAAAATAAGGATAATATGTAATATATTAAATGATGGACTCCTAAGTACTAGGACTTGTAGGCAGGGAGTCAAGAGTGTTCAATTTGAAGAGTGCTTGGAGAGAGCTTTATGAGTTGATATTTGAGTACGGGAGGTAAGAGAGTAATACTCAGTGACCTAAGGGAAGAACGTTCCAAACAAAAGGAACAGTGTGTGCAAATGCCCTAAAGCAGGAGCATTCCTAATATATTCAAAGATCATTAAGGATTCCAGCACAGTTAGCATTCAGTGAGTGCACAGCAGGGAAAAAAAAAAAAAAGGCAGATCAGTGAACAAATGAGGCCAGACTGTGTCATGCCTTATTAGGCCTTTGTGAGGATTCTGGCTTCTATACAGGTAAGATGGAGAAACCATTGGACAGTTTTGAGCAGAGAAGTGAAATGGTCCTACTTACATTTTAACAGGATCGCTCTGGCTACTTTGTTGAGAAGAGGCTCTCAAGGGAGGAAAAGGCAAAAGCAGGAAGACCAGTTAGGAGGCTGTTGTAATAATCCAGGCAAGAAATGATAGTAGCTTAGGGTAGGATGTTATCAGTGGAGGTTGGAAAAGGGAGTTGGATTCTGGATGTATTTTGAAAAGAGAGCCTACATAAGAGAGAGGGAGATAACCCCTAAGAGTTTGACCTAAGCAACTGAAATGATGAAGTTGCAGTTCACCTTAACTGAAATGGGGTAGGCTGCAGGTAGAGTAGGGGGGTGGGAATGGCAAGTGGGAGATCAGGAGATGACATTTTGACATGTTTCAGACATGTTAAGTTTGAAATACCTACCGTGTTTCCCCCAAAATAAGACCTAACTGGAAAATAAGCTCTAGCATGATTTTCAGGGTGCTCGTAATATAAGCCCTACCCTAAAATAAGCCCCAGTTAAGATCATCAGCCAGACATGACTGTATTTGAGTAAATGTAGATTTTTGTACATGAATAAATGAATAAAATGCATCTTTTGGAGCAAAAATTAATATAAGACCTGGTCTTATTTTCGGGGAAACACGGTATTAAGACATCCAAGTGGATATGTTGAATAAGCTGGTTGGTATACAAGTCTGGAGTCTAGACTAGAGATACAAAATTGAGACTTGTTAGTTATAGAAATTATTTAAAGCTGTGAGACTAGATAGGGTCACCGGGTCAAGTGGGCATAGACAGACAATAGAAGACGGTCAGCTTACACCCTGAGGCATTCCATAGTTAAGCGTTGGTGTGGCAGACTAGCAAAAGAGACTGAGAAGAATGGCCAGAAAGTAGATAAAACCAAATAAACATATGCCCTGGAGTCTTCATGCAAAAAGTGAGGGGAAAATCAACTTGTCTGAAAATTATGTCAAGTAAGATGAGGACTGAGACTTGATATTTGGAGTTGGCAATGTGGATGTAATTGGTAAAAACTTGACAAACAGGAACTTCTGCTTCCTGTCAAGATGGAATAACAGGGATTAAATTAACCCTTCACTAGAATATATGAAACAATTGTTTTTCAAGACACCGGATATTAGACAATGAAGAACAGTGATCTCCAAACATGGCAAAGGCATAAGGTGAGCCCTGTGATTGCTCCAGCTTAATGTCTTCAGAGAGTTTCCAGGTCATGCACAGAGAGAGAATCCAGGTGGGGCATAGTGCATTCCATGAGTTGAGATGGAGTTTAGAACATGGTGAGACCAAGGCAGCTGGAGCTCACAAGACGCAAAGTACAGGAGAGGAGAAAGCCTCGCAGAGACAGAGTCTGGAGACTGGAAAATCCCCCATAAATATTCAACAGAGATTGGCACACCTGTGTGAAGAATCTGTCCAAGGGCCGGGAATATAACCATCTGCTAAGATTGGAGAGAACTATGCCTGGTACTCACAAGACTGGGAATAGTGCCTGCTTCTGTCAGCCATGGTGGAAAACCTTGTAATTCATAGGATATTGAATAGAAGTGATAGGAAATAATTACCCCTAGACTACATGCTGCTGTGATCCCACCTAACAAATCTTAAAAACAAGACCGAAGGGATCAGTTCCAAAGTAACAGTGTCCCAGAACAAAGCTCAGGAATATTTATAGGAATACAGATATCTCCATCATTTAAATATCCAAAGTTTGCCAGGCAAGCAAAAGAGCATGAAAATTACAACTCACAATGAGGAGAAATATCCATCAATTGAAACTGACACAGATAAAAGAATGAGCACACAAAATCATTAAAACATTTTTTTTTTTTTAAGATTTTATTGGGGAATTGGGGAAGGGAAACAGCCAAGTTGTTGTCCTTCAGTCTTAGTTATGGAGGGTGCAGCTAGCTCAGCTCCAAGTCCAGTTGCCCCATCCGGCAGCCCATCGGCAGCTCACAGCTGCTCAGCTCAAGGTGCCGTGTTCTGTCTTAGTTGTGGATGGGCGTAGCCCACCATCCCATGCGGGAGTCAAACCGGCAACCTTGTTGTTAGGAGCAAGTGCTCTGACCAGCTGAACTGTTGGCAGCGCAGCTCACTGGCCCATGTGGGAATCGAACCTGTGACCCTCTCAACCAAGTGAGCCACTCAGCTGGCCCAAAACAATTTTTATACCTGCATTCCAGATGTGAAAAGAGTTAAGTGGACACATTTAGAAGGTATATTTTAAAAAAACTAAAAGGGCCTGCTGTGTGGCATGTTGGTTAAGAGTTGGCATGGGAGTACCAGCTCTGAGCAGCAGGGCCGCGGTTCAGATCCCAAATGAGGGCCAGTGATGCTGCGCCCTCTACAGCTAAGATGGTGACTGACAGCTCAACCTGGAGCTGGGCTCC